TATATATATATATATATACACAGGATCAGCCATAACATTATGACCAACCGCCTAATATTGAGTAGGTCCCCCTTTTGCTGCCTAAACAGCCCTGACCCACTCTAGACTCCACTAGACCTCTGAAGGTGTGCTGTGGTATCTGACACCAAGCCATCAGTAGCAGATCCTTTAAGTTCTACCATTGGCAAGATCGGACACGGATCGGACTTGTTTTTCCAGCACATACCACTGATGGTCGATTTGGATTGAGATCTGGAGAATTTGGAGGCCAAGTCAACACCTCAAACTCATTGTTGTGTTCCTGAAGCCATTCTTGAACCATTTATGCAGTGTGGCAGGACGCATTACCTTGCTGAAAGAGGTTACTGCTATCAGGGAATACCATATCCATGAAGGGGTGTACTTGGTCAGCAACAATATTTAGGTAGGTGGTATGGTTTAAACTTTAAAGTAACATCCACATGAATGGCAGGACACAAGGTTTCCCAGCAGAACATTGCCCAAAGCATCACACTGCCTCCACCGGCTTGCATTTATAGCATAGTGAGTACTGGTACCATCTTTTCAGGTAAACACACACACCCCCACATGATGTAAAATAAAATGTGATTCGTCAGACCATGCCACCTTCCTTCATTGCTCTGTGCTCCAGTTCTGATGCTCATATGGCCCATGTAGGCACTCTTGGCATTGGGCACGGGTCAGCATGGGCACCCTGACCAGTCTGTATGCAGCCCCATACACAACAAACTGCAACGCTCTGTGTGTTCAGACTCCTTTCTATCAGAGCCGGCATTAACTTTTTCAGCAGTTTGAACTACAGTTCTCGTCTATTGGTTTGGACTACACAGGCCAGCCTCCTATATCCCACCCACTTCCAGGTGCCATTGTAATGAGATCATCATATAGTGGTCATAATGTTATGGCTGATCGGTGTATATTCTTACAAACTGTATATATTTTTTAAATCAAATAACAAGGCAGCATTTTAAAGCTAATAGTTCTCTGGGATGCTGATTGCACTGTATAATATAGAGATTAGTGGGTGAACCTAGACATCTGTGCATGATAAAGCAAGTGCAATAACCAAAAATAAGTCCTCAATAACAATTCTATATAGTGCCACTTTAAAAAAATGCAAGGAGTAGAGAAAATGACAGAGTAATGAAAACATGGATTAAACCACGGATGTTTGCGGTGAGGAAATCACCCCACATACACGTGTTGTGTAGACCAGAACCACGCCACTGCTCGCCGCCTCCACCATGTCCTGTATCCGCCGAGCCAAGCGCAGTTCCTCTTTTCCAGATGGAACTTGCCTTGTATCATGGTTATTTTATCGGCAGGATCCAGTTTCAGGTCCTCTTTGTTCTATTTCCATCTGTGGTGCAGACATTGTATTATTGGCACAGTCACACTTGAAAGTTTCGAGTGTCTTTCGCTCCCCCCTCCCCCACAGGGGAAGGTGGCGGGGAGGGTGGTGATGGGGGGAGAGGAGGTAGGCTGCATTTATACGCAGCTCTCTCCTCCAGTGCCCCACCTGCTGCTCTCTTTACCAGAAACGGGCAGACTTTCTTGTAATTGGCTGACCCACAGGGTGCAGGAGACATAAATATATCGCAGAGGTCCTGGAGTGTGATTAATCAAGGCCTGGTACACACAGAGCTGGACCGCATCCCTCTGTGAAATACAGTGCCGCCTTTTTAAAAGCAAACCTGTGGCACTGAAAACGGCTATAAACTCACATATGCAGCAGAAAGCTGTCAGCACAGCTTGTATTATCTGTTAGTGCACTTTCCTGGAGCCCTGAGTACTTTCCGTGCCCCATTCCACATACCTGGTGCCCCCTCTACATCTTCTCAGTCCCAGGTGTGGCGGTTTTGGTTGTGCCTGCTTCCCCAGCTACCTGTCCCCAGAAAGACAGTGGGCTTAGGGCTGTGTGAGTGGTCACTGCTTAGGAATTTATGCCCATTCAGCCAAAAAAGCATATGTGAGAAAAGTACTGATGTTGGGCAAGAAGATCCAGCTTGCAGTTGGCATTCCAATTCATCCCAAAGGTGTTCAGTAGGGTTGAGGTCAGGACTTTGTGCAGGCCACTCAAGTTCCTCCACACCAAACTGGTCAAACTACGTCTCTATGGAGCTGGCTTTGTGCACAGTGGCACAGTCATGCTGGAACAAACAAAGACCCATATTTTGAGGTTGGAACAGCCATAAGCATTAGACTGCAACTGGATATGGAGGCTTGTAATAACTGCCTTTAGACAGATGCACCAGCCATCAGCCCAATGAACAGCAATGTTCTCACAGGACGGAGATGAGCAGCACTATGAGACACTAAACACGGCCCCTTTCTGACTTGGGAATAAAAGCCATTGGCAGAGGTCTTTTTTGAAACTACACAGTAGATGATCTCAACAGAGAGGAGAGGTTGAGAGCTTCCTGTAGATAAACTATATTGCCCAAGGTTTGTGGACAGCTCACCATCACACCTATATGAGCATTTTGACTATCCCATTCCAAAACCCTGAACATTGATATGAAGTTGGCCTCTCTTTGTGGCTATAACAGCTTCCACTCTTCTGAGAAGTTATCCACAAGACTTTAGGGTGTATCTGTGGAATTTTGTGCCTATTCCTCCAGAAGAGCATGGTGGACGAGAAGACCTGGCTCAAAATCAGGGCTCTTTGCAGGCCACTCATGTTCCTCCATAGCAAAGTGATCAACCATGACTTTATGGAGCTGGCTTTATGCACAGGGGCACAATCATGCTCAAAAAGAATAAGACTTTCCTTAAACTGTTCCTACAAGGTTGAAAGTGTACAATTGTCTAAAATGTCTTGAAGCATTAACAGTTGTGGCATTAACAGTACCCTTATCTAGATACACCTGAACTCAAACATTTGGAGCAGGGTCCACTTTTGGTCATATAGCATATAGGATTGCTGCTTGGCCAACAAACAACTGGAGGTCATGTCATGTCATGTCTATGGCTAGCTTTAGGGAACTCCTAGGTATGAAAGGGTGATTGGACGCACATGAACAATCCGATCCTTCACCACCACCTGACACACAAGCATGGCACAAGCTCGAATGGTCATTATGCATAGTGCAGGGATGGCCAAACTCTGGCCCTCCAGCTGTGGTGAGACAACAAATCCCATGAAGCATCTCTCTCCGGGAGTCATGTCTGTGGCTGTGAGAATCTTGCAAAGTCTCATGGGATTTGTAGTTCCACCACAGCTGGAGGGCCGCAGTTTGGCCATCCCTGGCGTAGGGGGACGAAAAGCCCCACTGCATCTCACACTGGGAAAAATAGAAAGTGCGGCAGGTTTCGTTTTTGTTTCCTAATCGATTGTTCTAAACAAGGCCAATTTTAGGAGGGTTCTGGAAAGTTAAAACTTCAGCAAAACAAATGAAAGTTTGACCAACTGTCCTTTTGAAGGCCGTGCAAGCCCAGTCTAAAACATATGTGAAATAACATTCAGGAACAATGAACAAAGAAGCAGATCACTAGCACTCAGTAGTAAAGATGAATATGTCCTTTTTTATTGGACAAAGACGTCACAGTGATCAGAAAAGCTGACGTTTCGGGGCCGCACAGGGTCCCTTCCTCAAGGCAGAAAGACGTGACACGTGGTCACGTCTTTCTGCCTTGAGGAAGCGGCCCCGAAACGTCAGCATTTCTGTTCACTGTGACGTCTTTGTCCAATAAAAAAGGACATATTCATCTTTACTACTGAGTGCTGGTGATCTGCTTCTTTGTTCTGTGTTTGCACGGCGCCATCCGTGGTTATCACTGTGAGCACCATTTTTCTTGTTGGCTGGGACTGCTGCGAGGTGTGCGGAGGGCTCCCCCATCGATCTACATTCAGGAACAATGGACAATCATCTAAAAATCAAACACATTCCATAAAAAGCCTGTAAGATATGTCACTATCGTACATTCTCTTATGTTCATTCCATTATAAAATGTTCTTTCGATCTGCTGAAAAGTTGTACTGTATTGCCGTGGTAAAAAAGCCAAAATTCACAGGAGATGAAAAAAGGCTTTATTGGTAGATTAGAGTTTGCCTTTAACCAGTGAGACGAGGCAATGTGTGGCTTATTTATAGCAGTCAGACCTCGGTGAATTGTTGTTGTTTGGTGTCGGTGAAAGTTGCCTCTCTTGCGCAGGAAACTCTGTGTGTGCGTCTCGCTCACTGGAGCAGACAGCAGTCTAGAACAGTGTGACTCACAGTCTGGGATTGAAATGACAGCACCTAATTAAATTGCTGCGGAGTGTGGAGGTGTGAGGCTCCCGTTCGCTGACTACTCCAGCTGCTGCAGTTGTGCGTCACCACCCGTTCTGTACATCGCTATGTCCTCACTGTCCGGCAAGCGTCCCGGGAATTCAGCCTGTTTTTTTTTCCTTACAGGCAAAAATCAATAATCTCAGGAACTCAATGCAATTCATCATATAGATATCCTGTCATAGTGTTATAGCTGCGTGCATCCATGGTGGAAACTGTTCAGTATCTTTTCTTTTTTTTTTCTCCCAGTAACTTTTGTCATTGTATGCGCTCATCTGATGGGGGACTGTAGAAAACAAATAAGAGCTGCCAAAGTTTTTTGTCTTTGGTCACCTCTCCACCCTTAATCTAGCCATACACCTATAGATTATCTGCAGATTTTCTGTGGTCAGGTGGAAAAGGTGCAACAGATTCCTCCATCTACGCTAAACTGTGTGGATGGAGGAATCTCCCACTGGGCCAAGCTTCAGTATCTTGCTAGTCGACCCCGCTGGCTGTAAAAATACCTGAACAATCTGATTGGATGCAGGCATTGTTCAGGTATTTTGACAGACAGCTCCGTGCTGCGTGCGGGGCCGTACCAAGAAGCTGCCGGGAAGGACAGGTGCTGCGTGTGATTAGTACACCCTTTTGTGAATAACCCTGTCTATATTCTCTCTATGAACACTTGTATAAGAAAGGCACATGAAACCAAGACTCAATCATTGCCCTCCTGCTTCCTCCTGCCTTTGGACCTTTGTGGCCTGTCCACAAGTCCAAGCCCCAGCCCTGTTGGTTTCGAGTTTTACGCACGTGGAACTCTGGATGAGCAGGTCATGTGAGGTCACACAATTTGCCGCCTAGCTCTGATCCAAGTAATTAATCCATCCCCTGCATCACCCTTTGCTCCCCCGCGCTATCTCAATCAGTGTTCTTTTTCACAACGACGCGTGCGAGACGTTCTCTGCTAGGATTTCAGTCCGCACAGCTAATTGAAAGTTCTGCCAAGTAGACGTTGATCAGGGAAGTTCTGGGTCCCCGCAGACCTGATTAGACCGTTCCCTGTTGTGCCTTACCTTGAATAACTCGGAGTTCTCTCAAAATACCATTATAATTTGTAACCCCGAGAAGCAGATAAAAGATAGCGGTCTTCTGGCTCGCATTGATGCAGGGCGATCGAAATCTTTTATTCTTTGCAGCATTCGCGGGGCGCTCTTGCTTTTGTTTGCACATCAAGGCTAAGGGGGCCTATCCACAAAGACTGGCGAAATAATTGCTGTTTGGCTTTTCCGCGCATTTTTTTTTAACGGTAAAAGTTTCACGTGTTAACTTTCTTAAGATGAAACGAAAAATTGTTGAAAGGTGGACAGATTAGGGGTAAAAAGCAAAGTATGGTGGTGAGAAATAAACCACCTGGAGTACACACTCCTTTCTTCCATCTATTGAAAGAAATGAATGATGGCGTGTTAAGGGTGGTGGGATTACCAGTAAAACTGTTGAAAATAACATTTCCTCGGGAGTAAAATAAGGAAATGATCGATTTCCACATTTATAAATAAGTCCCATTGTGGAAGATGCAGAGTCTGCATGTAATGATAATGAACCCTGATAGAGACCAGGTTCACATGCAGCAGACAATTTGCTTGCCAAGCACTCCTGACTGCTCTACTTTGAAGGACCAATAGCAAATTTTGGACCGTGAGGGGAAAGTGAAGAACAAAGTGGGTGTAGTTTTGCCTAAATAGAGTTCATTTGGGCATGGTGTGGTTTAAAGGAAACGGTCAGGCCGGTAAACTTTCTATGGTGACATAAGTTGCATTGTTTTCTAAACTTGAAGGTGAACTCCAGGGATGCTGATATATACTTCAAATCCTTATATGTGATCAGTCCTACCTGACAAGTGTTTTCCAGTCTTGTGATCCCTACCTGATACTATACATAGGTACTAGAATGTATAAAATCCAAACGAAACCAATCCAAAATCCAAACTGTGCCTACCAATCCAAACCTAGACCCTTCAGCGTAGAAGCAGCACAGCTTGGTGCAGCACACAGCCGCAACCTACTGTCCAGACAGTGAAGGAGCTGCAGGAAACTGAAACACCAAAAATATGCACCAATGAATTTCTGCAGAAACTTTTTTTCCGCCTGAATGTTCCTCCTTCTGAGCCCCCAATACATTTCTTGACTCACATCAGCCCCTGCTGCAGCCTCTCACCTTGTGATTTGTTACATAGTTACAATATGGCAGTCGGATCACTGGAGGGGAAGAGACTGAGGAAATGCTTCTTCAAGCCTGCAGCAAACTGTGATGACATCATCCCAGTCTAGGCAGGACCACTGGACTGGAGCTAACCTTTTTAGTGATAAAAGGTGGCGTTTTTCTGAAAACAATTATGTGACATTTAACAAATGTATTTCTGCAGAGTCGTGAAGTTACTGTAAGGTCCATTTTAACCAGTTCTAAAAAAAATTCAATAGAGACCTAAAATGATTCCTTGACTGTCCACCAACAGCCTAATTCATCTCTTCAATATTATTTCAGCGCAGCTAAATGTTCACCTTGGATACACTTCTGCACATCTCGTTCACTGACATGAAGTGTTCCTGTTTTTCAGTTGGCACGACATTCCAAGATATTACAGCAAATGCTGAGGCCGGGGAACGACCCAGATGGCGGCGATGAAGCTTTGAAGTACTATGCGAACCATACGGCTCAGATTGAGGTAAAGGAAAGGGTTTGATGTGGTGGGAATTCTCTGGGGTCGCATAAAACTTTCATTCAAAGACAGAGCTGGGATGACTTGTGGCCAATTCCTCGGTCGTATACATCCAGCATGTCAAACTGGGGGTTTTATAGGCCACTTGCAGTCCTCCTATCTCTCTGTGGCCTTTAGCTGGTTTTAACTATATCTAAAGCCAATTTTTGTTTTGGATGGAGTAGAGCAGGCCCCCTCGCAATTGGCGAGTGAAAATTGCGGGGGGTGAGTGGAATGTCAACGAGGGGGTGCGCCGCCAGCGGGACACGGATGGGACGCTACCGCCGCGGCGATCGCTCGCTTCAGTTCTCTCGTCTTTTTCTCGGCTGCTGCAGCTACAGGGCGGCCGAGAAGAAGAAGAGAGAACTGAAGCGAACGATCATCGCGGCGGTAGTGTCCCATCCAGAGCCGGCATTAGCTCTCTGCTCTCTCTCTCCTCCTGGCCGCTGCAACTTCAGCTCCACGAAGCGGGCACTCAGAGAGGCGGCTCTGATCGCCCCTGTCAGCGCTCCCTCTCTCTCCCCCCGACCGCTGCAGCTTCAGCTCCACGAAGCGGGCACTCAGAGAGGCGGCTCTGATCGCCCCTGTCAGCGCTCCCTCTCTCTCCCCCCGACCGCTGCAGCTTCAGCTCCACGAAGCGGGCACTCAGAGAGGCGGCTCTGATCACACCTGTTATCGCTCCCTCTCTCTCCTCACAGCCGCACTGAAGCTGCAGCAGTCGAGAGGAGAGAGAGGGAGCGCTGACAGGTGCGATCAGAGCCACCTCTCTGAGTGCCGGCTTCGTGGAGCTGAAGCTGCAGCGGTCGGGGGGAGAGAGAGGGAGCGCTGACAGGTGCGATCAGAGCCGCCTCTCTGAGTGCCCGCTTCGTGGAGCTGAAGCTGCAGTGGTCGGGAGGAGAGAGAGGGAGCGCTGACAGGTGCGATTAGAGCTGCCTCTCTGAGTGCCCGCTTCGTGGAGCTAAAGCTGCAGTGGTCGGGAGGAGAGAGAGGGATCGCTCAGCGGTGTGATCAGAGCAGTGTTAAAGATGCCCCCCTCCCAGTCCACATCTTTTGGACGTTATTAATCTGAGTTGTCCCACTCAGTTTGCCCGTCGCTTGCGGCCATATTGAGTGGGGCACTCATATAATTAACGTGCAGGATTAGTCTGACCCAGGGGCGGACTGGGCCCGGAGGCAGGGTGGCAATTGCCCCCCGGGCCTCTCTGATACCTTTGCAAACGCCCCCCGCCACCCCAAGCACTTCATCTGTCCCCTCTCGGCCGCTGCAGCAGCAGAGTAACCAAGAGGGGAGAGATTAAATGCTTGGGGGCGTTTGCAAAGGTATCAGAGGGGCTTGGGGGGCAATTGCCACCCTGCCTCCGGGCCCAGTCACATACATACTGTGACTTCCATCATTTGATTCTATGAGTCCTCTCCTTTAAGTGCAATTTTTATGTGCAAAATGAGCATTTAAGCGTGTGTGAAAAAAATGGCTCAGGCACAGAAAGGGTTAAGGCATTTACAATCAAACATAAGTTAAAAATGATAAGGATACATAGAAAATGATATCTTCATACAAGGGTACAGGACTATCAAGAGATGAGAGGGTATGAGGCTTCACTTTAGGAAAACATTGCCGACATGTATTTGTCATCCTTTGGCAGATCTTTAAAAATGTACGTTCACGGCACCCTTGAAATGAAATAAAACACCCTCATAGGGATGCAGCTCTCAAACACTGCGGGCGTCCAGTCTAGGCTCTGGGCTGTCGGTGTGTGACCCGCGGGAGGGCTGCATTGTAGTTATATGAATTTTAGTCTGGCAGATGCACCTGATCAAATGTCCCTTTTACATTTCCCCTCTGCACCGAGAAGCTGATTTATAGCCATGCCGCATGAGACTTGGCATTAAATGTGTGATAACCCCCCCCCCCCCCCCAGGGTGCCTCTGTACA